ATTCTGCATAGATGAGCGTTCGCAAAATGTATATATCCTGCTGTACTTTTATTTTTTATTTTTTTTACTTTTTATTTTTTTTTTTTGTTAAAATTTTGACACATGTCCTTGTCGGATTCCTGTGCACGTCGAACCAGTTATTCATGACAAGTGGTATAAACGTATTATTAAAAATATTATTATGGTAAACTTAGCGTCGTTATAGAGATCGGTGTCCCGCAATTCGTAAGTTTAAAACGAGTAGGTTATTTTTTCGTTCTAACGCTATCGACAACTGTGTACATAATGTTAAATCTCATACTATATTGTATCCTTCGTGAATTGTTTTATCGCAAATAATTTAGACTTCACTACTCTCTTCATGATAGTATATACTATCATACATTATATACATTTATTCAAGTTGTAGGTATTATATTATAATAAGGATAATAATAGCCATAACAATCATGTTCCGAGCGAAAAAAAATCCCTATCAATGTAAAATTAAAACAGTTTTATTTTATGCTTTTAGTTTATTAATTATTATGTTTAGTATAATAGTCAACATGTAGATTTATGTATTATTTGACCATGAAATGGATAACGGCTCGAACCACCACCACTGTCTTTCTAAAAGTGTACCTACCATCGATTCCGACCGAAATAAACTTTTTTCATGAATATAATATAGAAATGTTCATCTTTTTGACATAATATTCTTAAATTCAAACAATTTATTAATCAACAAGAAATATAATATTAGTACTTCAGAAATAAGTTTTTTACCAGTCTTATATCACCTTTGTGCATACACGATACATCAGTAAAAATTTCATAAATTTTCGTTGAATGTATAATATATGAATTAACTTAAACAAAAGGATCTACCTTGTGTATTTACCCAATGCCCATAGTAATACTTATTTTATTAATTAAATCGTTTCTTACATTTTATTAAAATAATAATGGCTTATATAGTTACATAGTATGGGCGCCTTTAATTTACTTGTCTAATATGTATATTTCACTTAAAATAATTTAAGTGTTTTAGTAATAGTTGAATGGATTAATAAACATGTATATTATTAGATTATTAGTATAAAAACGATCACAAGTACATACCAGTCGCTATATATATATACCTTCTCACCTATATTTACAGGAAATTTACTAATATAAGTAAGTAATAATATAATTAATATTATATAATATGACATGTTTTAAAAGATGCAACGTTTTTAATTTCAAACTTGGGTTATTTTAATTTATTAACACTTAACATATTTCTATAGCGTGGTGTAAATTTTATAGCTAATAACACGGTGATTGTATTTATATATTTTATTTTTATATTTCTAGTAAATAATAAATATACAAAACACAGCCACACAAGTACCTGCGTTTACAATTTCATATCAACCACAATCATTTTTATCATTAACTAATTATTATTATATTTTTTTTTTAATATGACTTGTCATATTGTACTTCCTTTTCAAATGTAATTGCGCTGCAGCTAATTTACGCACTACCACCACCGCACAATCAATATTACACAAGTATACACTACTTACATCCTATAATGCCATAATTTACTATAAAAAAAATACCTATTGTAATATATTATATAGATACAATATAATGGTACTGTCTTTATCGATAATTTCGGTAGGTTGAACGTTTCATAAAATAATGGCACTGTAGTATATATACATCGATACAAGCAGCTCACACAATAATTAAATGAGATATCTAACAAATTTGAATTTACATGACGTGATAAAGTGAAAATTGAATTCACATTTATCATATACGTATAGTATATTAGTATCAATAAGATATTGTTTAAACGTTAGACAATGCATATCTAAAAAAATGTATACGACTCCAGTTGATCTATTGTTTGTTATTATTATTTTTTTCACACAACTTCAAATAAAAATAATAATATAATGAAAATAATGTTTCATTAGTTAATTTAGTTTTTCAGGTTACTACACATCTCAGAATTCATAACTTATTTTTATGTTTTTATCTGATTTATATAGTTTGGTGTATTTTAAAGGTAAACTATGTTTTTAGTAACTGAAAGCTTTAATCAAAACAATTTAAATATAAATCTATTAATAGATAAACATTGATGGTTAGTTATAATATATTTCATCAGCATAACGTAGAAAACTTTTTCTCACATTAAACAATTATTATTATTTAAAAATTTAATTGATAGAAATCGAAATTTTTAAGTTGATCATAATAGCCAGATATAATTAACCCATATGTTTTTTTATACTACATGATATTTAAGGAGAAATAATATAAATTATTTTGTTATTTTATTTTGATTTAAAAATGTTTACTAGTTTGATAAAAATAAAATAAAAAATTATAATATCAAGTATACAAACCGCATTGATGTTTAAACAGAAAAAATAACGCCCCTGAAATAAGCAACTTAACTTACAAGCACATGTTTATTGGATTGCAATCGGTAAGGAGAAATTACAAAAATCAATATTTTAACATTGTGTAATTAATAAAATTTATCTAAAATAAAAAAAAAAACATATTAATATTGATAACTATTAATGTATTATGTAGTTTTAATTAGAACAAAATTATACTGATTAAATTACGTTATGATAATATTTTATTATATTGTTACAATTATCTATAATATTACATTAATATAATACAACCTTTACAATTGTAATTTTTATTTAAGATTCTGTGCAAAACAGTTATACAAGTTTTTTATTTCTGAGTTAGTAAACAGTTGATCAAAAGTATAAAATGCCCAATTCTTATTAAAATTAAAGTACCTAATCGTGAAAAACAAGAAACAAATAACAGAACAGTCACGATTTTTTTAATAGCGTTTACAGTTTATTTTAGATTAAAGTTGTCAAAATCACAAATTTTTTATAAATATTCAAGTGTTAATATATTAATAATAATAATTAATATGATATCAAATTAAAACAAAATTAAGAACAAAACTTAAGTCAAACATTTTGTATATTTATTAGTAGTTTAAAAAGAGCCAAAATATTTTGAAAATTATATCATAAGAAGGAAATACTAATATAAATATATTTTAATAATTTTGAGAATCTATGGATATAAAAACAAGTATTTAAGTCATACATATGATAACAAAGTGATAGACAAGCTAGCCAAATCTATCTCTGATACAATCTTGCCTTCTTTTGCTCAATTATTTTGAACTGATTTTACCCCTACACTATTTCTTCACATTGTCAATCTCTGATCCAACTTCTGGAACAACTTGCCAGCCAACTTTGTATTATTTAAAAATAAATTCATTTTCCCCATCATTCCTGATAAAAAAAACTCGGTTCAACAACTTAGATCTACCAAGATCTAAAAATCTACTATTGTTCATTTCAACCGTCTCTACGTGAGTCATCGCTGCTAATTGATCACGCTTATAAACTTAATTTAAATGACTCCCTCTTCTGCACACTACACATAACTGAAAGTTTCTGTGATCTCTCACATTTAATCTTAGATTTCCGACATTAAATATCAAATGTATAGTCTTACTCAACACTCAACCACCTTAAATTTCTTAACATTTCCCCAACATCTCTTTGTTCAATATTAAATCTGAAATGGCTAGTTTTGTCATTTAATATTGTTAATATAATTATTTGTGTATATTATCATTTATTATTTGCATATAATATGTTTTAAAGTCATAATCTTATATAACTTAGAATTGTTTTTCCATTTGTTCTGTCCAATTATCCAAATCTGCATTATCTAAATAATTTTCGAGCATAATAATTTCTGACTAAAAGTAAATTAAAAAAAAAAGTTTTCATCAAAAAATAGTACAGTATAAATATTCAATATTATCAGTATTTTTAAAATTTTTAATTTTTTTCAAAAAATATCGAATAATTAAAAATTTTTAATAAATACAACCACATTGCTCCATTTAGAATCTAAAATTAAATAAGCCGACAAACATAATGAATGTACCAAAATTGGTTATTTTGACAATTCGATAAACCTTAACGTCTCTTCAATTATGACAGTTATGCTCTTCGTTTTATTTTCAGAATATCTAGGAGTTCTAAATACAACAGAACCTAAATTTCTGAGCGTACTTGAATTTTAAATAACTTACAAATACATACCTAATAAAATGATGTATTATAAGTTAAAGTTCTGATAATTACTAACCAATAGATACTTTGCACGTACAGGTGACAGGTGTCAGGTCACATATACAACAGTTTAAAATAATTATTACACTAAAATAATCAAGATACAATTTATTTTTATTATTTATATAGTTTACATAGGTTTCAATTAATCATACATTCACTTACAATTTAATTTGTTTAGGTAACATAAGATATATGTGTATTTATAAGTAATTTTAATACAAATTCAAAAAAAAAAAAATAATATTATCTAATCAAAACAATAAATTCCCATAATTTTGGTTCGAGTAAAAAAATCCGGTATATGAGCAGCAATTACACACACAGGTAAAATAGTGAAATTGCTAATAATATTACGTTCTATAAATAAAAGTTTTCATAAAAAGCATTCACAAAAAATAAATTAAAAACACATGTATTATACGATAAATAATTACATAATATATACATTTACAAAGTTTATAATTTCTGTACTTATGTTAGTAACAGTTAAATACAAAAATAAATAAAAGGATAAATTATAATTTGTCTACTATTTTTTAACTATCGATAAGAAAATAAACGACTAGTAATCCATTTTAATGGAAACGCACAATACCTCTTTAACAGCAGAAAATAAGTAATCATACAGGCACAAAATAGGTTTATTAATTTATAGAAAATATATGCTAAGAAAAATATGAGCATTGGTAACAAGAAATACAACAAGGATAATTATTTTTGTAAATTAACAAATAAATTATTATTATTTGAGTTATATTAATTTAAGCTCAGAAATAAAATAAGTAAAAAAATCTTAAGAAAATTCCCTATCATTTGCGTTCTTAAAGAGGCAATAAGCATATTTAATAATAATAATATTATTATATTATAAAAATAATATTAATAAATTAAAATAAACAATTACACATTTCAATATCACAATTGAACCACGTAAGCGGTTTTTGGGTAATATAAAATTTATTGATATAACATCAATACATTGAGAATTTATTGTAATAGTTAAAAAGCAAAAATTACGATAATAATTCAAAATAATAAGTATTTTAAACGTGACTCGCAATTGGATATATAATTATTATCCCAACAATTTAGTGGAAATGTGCGTTATCTTAAACAATAAATTGAGATGAATCCGGTATATTGTGTAGTAGTTATTTTCTCTAATCTCGGGAAGCTTAGTACATAGAAACACGTTAAAATAAAATCTTTTAATTTACCCATTTAGTAGGTACGTGATATTATTAATCAACAACTGAATTGACCAGATTCGGAGATCATAGAATATTGTACGATAGTAAATACAATAATAATAATGAAATAATATTATTCAAGACGTCGGACGTCAGATATCTAATTCGTAATGATATTGTAGATACATAAATTACAAGATCGGACTACCTAATAAATATTTTATACAAATATAAATTAGTTGTTATTGCCGTCGAGACTCCCAGTCGTTTAACTGTTATAAATAATATTAATAGTACTATTGTCAACATAATAATTATAATATAGTTCATTATTATTGATTATTATTAAATTACTATGGTGACGACGTTATTCTTAAGGACAAAGAGCTTCGTTCGATACGGCTGAGAATTTTGTTGATCACTTTTAACCGGACTTCAATGCTAGTATTCGCTAAGAGATCCACCTGCGAAAACAAAATATATTATTATCGTATAGTATTTTTTTAGTACAGAATTCGATAACACAATATTATATATAAATCAATATTAGGTATTATCAAATCGATAAATAATATATTTTATGATGATTGTGTGAAAACCTAATCAATAGATATGTACTAGATAATGAAATAATGATAAACTGTTAAAGTATATTTGTTATCCACTGCCAGATCAGGAAAAATTAGTCTTTTCCTTAAAGCTTGTACATAACAAAGAATTATTATTTACAATAATTACAGCTCATCGTTTCACATTTCTAAATTAAAAATATGAAGAAAAAAAAACGATCGCATTGAAATCTTTATCTTCATAATAATACTATTTTATACGTAAGTTATGCATAGTATTGTGCTGTGAATAATATATTAATATAGTAAATTTATCTTAATAGCAAAAATGTGAAATTTTGCTTTACATTTATCAAATAGTGAAGAATTTTAGTAGGCGTGGTTAAATTCTTTAAGATACTAAATTTTCATTTTAAAATTTTAATATTATTTTTTTAAACATCATAGAAAGGTAATAACGATATAATATCAAGTATCAACGTACTATAAAACATAATTTTAATCGAATCAAATTATTTTTGTTTATTATATACACAAATATATATTATAAATAATATACATTAACTAATTTTAGTTTCGATAATAAAAAAAATAAAAGTGACTTTAGATTTGAAAATTGTAATCAATAATAGATACTTTGTATAACTTAAATGTAAAAATATAAAAATATATGTCTTATAATGATATAAACCTATAAAAAAATATTGGAAAATACATCTTATAACAAAATCATGAACATTAAAAGAAAAGTAACGTTAAAATCTTTTTTACCATTGAACGTTTAAAAATGTTTTGATTTTTGAATTCTATAAATATTTTTCTTTCAAATCTGTCCCTGAATTCTTGTATAAACTTAATTTAAATTAAAAAAAAATTCGTACTCGCTGCTGTTGTCTTCATTTCATGCATAACGTACCAAAATATGCGTTGAGCAATTCTCATTTTGTGTTATTAGCTTAACTTTAATATTCAAATTAATTGGCTTATTATGAAACTTAAAAGTAAGAACATTATCTAAGTTCTCTCGTTAGACTTTTACCATGTTTAAGTTTTTAATTAAGTAGAGAGTATGTAAAATTAATATTTAAAAATCCTCATAACTCACTTTAAAATTAAAATATCGCAAAAAAAAAAAAAAACAACGAGAGAAGACGTGCAATGTACCTAATCTTTAATATTCATAATAATAACTAATATTTATTTATTTCAGAAAAAATAGATTTACAGTTACTAAACTTAAATTTAAAAACGTCTAGGTTAGGTCTAAATTTCGAATGTCAACAGAATCGGAAATGCCAGAAAATCATTCGGAAACACCGTGCCCGCCACCCCACTGGACGCGCCGCCATTACCACCACCCGGTGCGGTTGCTTTGGACGTGTCCGTCAAGCAAACTCTTGCATCACATATGTGTCTTCGACTACCAGGGTCCCATTCGTATAATCGGTAGCCGAGTGATGGCCGTTGCAATGGACGGACACCACCCTGGGCGAGTGCAACACCGGCCGGTTAGACGGCAGCTGTAACAGGGTTGTAGTCCATCCGTCGCGTCGCCGGTCGGCTGCGCTGTTGCCGCGTCTCGGCAGTTTCGCGGTACCAGGGGCGCCGCTACCATCAATACCTTCCCCCGCAGACACAGTTCCACGCACGCTTGATCGACACGTCATCGCCTCATTCGGATACGAATCAACCGTACTTTTCCAGGACATCATTCCCATTTATATGTTATTAAACATTTCAACTACACTGTACTATACACAGCAAATATATTATCTTCAACAAAACCAAGTCTTGTGTTATTAAATAATTGTATAATAAAGTGAGATTAACTAATAAAAAACTCAAAGGCATGAAAGCCTTTAATGAAGTCATTAACGGGCATCCTATCTGTGTTTGATGGTCAGATTTTTTACCATATTTTAATTTTTAAACGAATTATTAGTTTATGTAAAATATCATAATTTAAAAATGTTCATGACACATAAATTAAAATCCAACAATCGAACGTTTAATGTCATTGGCTTATGTGTAATAAAGAATCTCAGATTCACTAAAAAATGCTCGGTCAAAAGTAAATTATCAAGATATTATTAATTAAAAAAAGTTAAGATTTTTAACAAATTAAAAAATAATGAACACAAGTGTCAAGTATTAGTTATTGTATTCCACCTACCTAACCAATCGCGTGACCAGTATTTTTTTACGGAGGGGGTGTGTTTTAAATGTATATTTGAATATCACTCTCCATTGATGTATAATCTTTATAAACGCCATATCATAAAAATTTAATAGAACCATACGTACAACACATTCTTTAGATATCTAATGCATAAATAAATGTTTACATAAATGCGATTGACTATGAGTGTATAATACAATATCAAAATATGTCACTGAACCATTTTATTTTTCATTTTGGAACCAACGACGCCACAGCTTTCGCACACAGCGAAACTTAACCTAACCTAACCAGAATACAGCTGTTAAGTAGTATATATTTATTATTTCGTGCGGTAGATATACGTATGTTATGATTGAATCAATTAAATATATGCATCACAAAGTTATCTTTTGATAATCAATATTATTCCAAAATTAATTCATTTAATCATTGTGAGTAATCAATGTTGAATGGGTGAGTGTTTTAAACATCTACGAAACTCCTGAGTTCGGTTTTAATTTTTTTCTTTAATAAAAATGATCTGTTTAATCAACCATTCAATTATATACAAAAATATAATGCGTAGTGTAAGTGCGTAAATACGATAAAGAATGCCCTCGATAATGTTATTTTTACGTTTTTTTAACACATTTGCACACAAAGTGTCTAAGAAGGCGTGGGTCAGTCGACCCTAAAATATATAAAATGTTATGATTATCATCGATAATAAAACTAGCTCGTTAAATAATATTTGGCGAGCGATGTAATAATAATAATTAAATATCAAATCATTAGTAACTCATTATACATGAAGTATAAATACTTGCATGTATTTGAAACATTTTTTTTTTGCATCACAAACGATCGAAAATAACCTCTGTACATATAATACATGTTATGCAAGACTTGTAGAATTTTATTTTTATTTATAATAGGTTTAAAAAATATAAATCACATTTCTTGTGTATAAACAAACCCAATATAATACATCCTTAAAATTATTATGTAGATAATAATCTTGAATATTTGCTAAAACCCACGCTAATAAATCTTAAAATTGATTAGTTAACCCTCAAGCCACAGACGAAGTATAAAGTTAGTATTTGGGTACACCATATTCTGCAATAGTATATTGTAACATTAAATAATATGAAAATAGATATCACTTTGAGAGCAATAAACTATAACAATATACAAATATTCACCTAAGGTCAACAACACAAAATTTTATGAACAAAAATTTGCTGTTATACGTTTGTAAGACGGGGACAGCATATTATGAAAGCGTAGATTCCTCATTGATGATATAGTTTATCTACCTATGTAATTTGACTAGAGAATTATGATGACACATATTTCATTGTACATAATATATAATTTACTAACCGTATCGACAATATATGGTGCGGCGGCGTTTGTTTGTCTAAAGAAGCTTTTCACATACGGCAACGCGAAACGAATAATAATAACAATACTTATTACATACCTATTAGGTGGTGTGTATATATTAGGTAGTAAATACCTACACAGTATAAAGTACGGAGGATAAAAAAAAGGGGGCGCAAACTCGCGTATGTTTACTATTACAGAACGAGTTACATAAGAACCGTTGGACATCAGACTAATGTCAAATCAGTGCGTGTATAATCTAATATAATGATTATTATTGACTTATTGTGCGGTGTTAATTTATGTAGTAGGTTGGGTTATGTATTATGATTTTTTGCAATTCATGGTTGTTGTTAAAATTTTATCATGTGCTGAAAATAAGGTTTCCACCGTTGCGTTGTACGTTGAGTACAACCAATCTAATTAAACTATAATACGATTTTTAGTTTTATTTTGTATTTTGTTAGCGACAAACAATGAAACATATTAATTATTTACACATTCTTAGACATTAATTAATGTTTTTTAAATAAAATTTACATAATTTCTTATAATTGTATTCAAAGCTTGATAAAAACATATAATGTTGACCATGTTTTTAAAAAAATAAATAAACTAGAGTATAAATAAATAGAATACATATACAGTATACACAATAAATACATTAAAGCGATAGAATACATTTTTATTGCCCTGAGATGAGCAATCGTATAATACGGCAATAATAATATTTAATGGCATTAATGTTTATTATTTATATAACTATATTATATAATGAGAACCCATAAACGGTATAAGTTATTACTTATACTAGATTAATTCAATAATAAAAAAAATAATAACAACAATGCAATGCAATGCATTTAAAGTTTAGGAAAAATGATGAGAATTTAATAGCATTTTTCTAAAAATAATATAACATTTATTATAGTTTATAATGTCAAAATAATGATATCTAACTCAAATATAATAGATATGAATTAAAAGTAAGTATATTATTATATGTTTTAATTTATTTATATAGGAGTTATTCTTAAATAACCAAAAACCGTAAATTGGTTCATATAAAATTATTTATTATTGTGATAATAAACACAATATAGTTTATAAAAAACATGGTATTTAAAGACATTTATATATATGTATATATATAATCATATTGTACGATAATCAATTTCCCAAAATGTATATTTTACAACTTTAAATTTTAGATACTTATTACTCATAATAATTCACCTAAATTAATAAGGTTTAATTTTTATAAAACAATAAACTGATTTTACGTTGTTTGTTCTATAAATCTGCACTCAACAGAAAAAAAATTTATACAAACAATAAATATTTAATCTAATTACATTATTATTGTGATAGTAATATCCACCTTCTCAAAAAATAATTAAATCTGTGTAAATAAATGAAGAAGTTTAGTTTGAAAATATTAATAATTTAATAAATTGTCGTTTATCTATATTTTAAGCCAACATAATGTAGTAAAATCATATCATAAAATATTTGAAGTATCTTTACTTACGAAACATTTTTATACTTACAACAATAAACAACAATATTGTATGTATTCTCAATTAGCTAATTATTTATATTTTATAATAAAAAATAAAAATAAAAATAATAACAATTGCTCATAAATTATGTAAACTAATACTCAGTAGACACTAATAATATACAAAACAGATACTGCATAATACACAGCCGACAAAGTTAAGAATGACATTATTTCATTCCATTTTCCAAATTAAATAAGTACTTTAATATATTACTCATTAATCTATCAAACAAGAATATTAGGCTAACTTAGATCCAAATAAATATATAAATAAATAAATAAATACCCGCGAGGTAGAATTCAATTTAATTTATAAATATAAATCGTAATCAATACGTAGAATTTGTTTTGTACTTACAAATTACACTAAACAAATATTACAAATTATCACTGAAGAATGAAAAATGAAGTTATACACTTCTGGTTCGGTATTTTTACTGATGTGATTAATTTTATAGCATCTAAGGATAGTTTATAAAAGGGGTTATCAATTAATATTTTTAAAGGGGTACGCCATTAACCCAAAAGACCTTCAATATTTAATATACGTAAGTAATTAACCAATGAATGAAAACGTATTAACAAAAAATATAATAAAAACTAATAAGAATTTAATTTAATTCATTGTAAGAAAAATTCTACGGATCTGTGGTCCCTTAATTATTATATCGTATAATGCTCAATACACATACATGTATAAAATACAAATACACTTTGGCTTGTACTAGGTATAAGCCAATATTAAATTTATTAAGTTTCAAATAAATGCATACAATATATTTCAACTTACATGGGCATTTTGTCCTAAGGGTAATAACGACAACAGCCACCACGTCCAAGCTGGACCATCAGGCAGTTCTTCCCAATTTGGTTCGGTGCTCGGTGGAAATCCAACAGTTCTCAAGATTTCAGATTTTATTTCAGACCGAAAACTATTAAACCACGTCAATCCCCGATTTCGAACGTCGTCGTGAAGTTTATATAATTCTATACATATATATAACCAAAATAAAGAGCTCATTAATTTGGCGCATAATATGAGTAATATTGTGATTAACAGAGATAGCAAATTCAGCGTCACTGAACAGTTTTCTTAATAAAACCAGTTCAACTACGTAAACATATAATAAAATATATCATATTAAATGTACTCACCTGATAATTTTTTTGATGGAACTTGTTCATCCTGTATGTATTGCACAGTAGCCATGTCATAGCCATCGTGTTCTTCTTGAACTAACACTTTAAATCGTCGCCTTCCGATTGTAGATAGAATAGAGCAACCATTACCCATCATGATCCTATCTTTAATTTCCAACACCGTCCCAAACTCGGCAAACCTAAAATCCAAATCAACAATATAAAATTTAAACGTAAAAAAAACGTACAGCGTCACGTGTCAGAGAAAAAAATTTACGATTTTTGATGCTTATTTTTTGTGCACGTATCCATAAGCCGTTTTTATAATACATAATTATCCTAATAATAATTATAATAATAATCAAGGCTCAGAAATTAATTCACAAAAAATTTCAAAATATGGAATAACACTAGTTGAAAAAATTAGAAAAATAATTTTAAAATTGTATCTATCTAGAACAGGGATGTGTAACTCAGAATTACTAGAGAGCTAATTTTAAGAAATTAAAAATCTAGTGGACCAGAGCACAGAAAGGAAACATAAAAAAAAGGTCATTCGAAATATGCATTTTAATTAGCATTTACTTTATTTATAGTGTAAATTTTTAACTTTAAAAAATTGTATGATGTTATTTGGAAATGTAGCATGGGCGAATAAAAAAAGCTCGTGGGCTGCCAGTACCCACCCCAAGTTTAGAAAATGCTAATATAAATATTTTATTAAAATTTAAATAAGCATCTATGATAATTTATTTTTGTATCACACCAAACAAATTAAGATAATTTTTTTTTAAGAATGCATAAAATATAGATATTCGCTGTTTTTTCAAATTATAAAAATAAATAATGGGTGTTCTATTGAACCATTAAAAAACCAATTAGATAAAATGCTTTAACAGAAATCACTTTTAATTTATAAATTAAAGCGAATTCTTAGCTCAAAAACGTGAACAATTCACAGACACGCAGAAATAAATACAGAAGATGTTAGTTGGTGTATTAATTTTATTCGAAATTATGCGCTTAAAATATTTAAATTTATAATCCAGATATCAGATACGAATCAAATGGGTTTTTTTTATTTTTTTCCCCCGAACAAATATCCAAATTCATTAAATCTAGAGCCCTAATAAATAATATTATACCATTATTGTTATTATTATGTATACGTGCGTGAGTGTACGAACTTCATGGGAGGACAGCAGTTGCTGATCATGGCGAATCTCCGCGTACCCGATTCTATGCACCTCCTGATCATCAGTCTGTATCGAGGTTCGAACACGTGTAATGGACATGATACAGACGGGAAAGCGTTCGTGCAAACGAATACCGGCAAATACGTGCTATCATGCTCCGCTTCCGGTTTCCAATTTATCGTCTGCATGAGATTGTTTTTGGTGTACTTGCAGTTGATCAGCTCATTGACAAATTCCGAGGTGTTCTTTTTGCTCAATGCTAAGCTCTACAAAAGACCGGGAAATATTTAACTTAGAATATGGGATTCAAAATCTTTTATACGTGAATAAACGTGTTTCTCATTCTACATAATATCTAAGTATACAATACGAATATACAATTGATAATATTTATAATAAGTACGCAAAATTTGGTTTTTAAATATAATATAAATGTATATCTATATATATTGTAATTCATGGGTATGGTCAAAGTTATAATATCATTAGCGTCCGATTAAAAAACAATCATAAATATTATAATTCTTTAAAATTGAATTTTTTCGATGCGATAAAATCCAATAAAATACAAGTAATGCATATCAATAAATAACGATTTTGTCTTATACCTCCGGTAAATGTTTAGAAAAGCTGTTCTTGGTACCTTATACAGGTAGAATATCTATGATATTAAATTCATATACATAACGTATATTTAGTAGTCACTATAGTCAGTATAACGACATAAGTTAACGGTTGACGGTGGTATACTGATTACAATATTATTGTAATGATTGACAATAAACACTGAAGACTTTGTATCGATGTGATATTATTCAATAGTATTACTATTAATATTTTCATTATTTTTATTATTATTATTACTATACTATTACAATAATCTATTGCGTCGAGATGATAATGATATTTTTACTCACAGGCGGCAGTGACGTCAGACACAGCGGACAGTGGAAACTGTAATCAAAATTATGCTCTAGACAGTCTAAACAGTACGTGTGTCCACAAGGTGTCGTTACCGGGTTCCTCAACATTCCGCAACATAAAACACAATTGAAATCCGATTCGTCCAACAACGATGTATCTACGTTTAGTGTGTTATTGATTAAGACGCTTGAATTGTAATCTAAAAAATCAAATCCGAAATGACGTTTGTTGTTTTGAATCTTGTCAATATTCACTGAGCGCAACTAATTGCTATATACATTAGATTATATATTTATATGTGTACACAAAATTGCGTGACCAAAATATCTTAATGGTCTAAGTGTTTCACATAGTTCGTATTATTATCTCATGAAAATAATATTTCATAACACTTATGAAATATTAATATTACTTAATAGTCTTCAAAGTACCTATTGAATAAACCTATAGGTATACTATACTAGTATACTATTATAGTAGTATATAATAATACTACCATTTGTTCGTAAAATTAGTTGCATAATTTTTGAATATAACAAAGTATATATGCCGTATAAACAAATATTTATATAATTATTTATTTTATTTCAAAAACATATGTTCGCATAAATATCTTTTATATTCTAGTGATATTTTTATGAGTAAAATATACTTTTATTTAGCATGGGGTAAAAGATATAAATTTAAATATAGCTAATTTTTTTACTTCATTTAACGTGCATTTTATGTTTGATTGCAAATACTAAAATCATCATTCGATTTAATTCTATATTAAATTTTAGCATCATTAGCAAATATTAAAATTTGCTTAGAGATATCTAAAACTAGATAAAAATTCAATGGCGTACTTTGGTAAGGTGACCTTCATGTCAGGACGCCCCCGACTTCAAAAAAATATCCCAATGTATTAGTACTTTACTAGTGCCCATCAAAATATGTATATTCAAACTGCAAAAATGATATTAATTTTATTATACCTGACAACACGATAAACGTTATATTTTTAAGTTAAATTTACAGTTTATTTGGAATATCCAGAAATTATTCAAATTTCACCGGGTCATTAAGAGATATTTGGAATTCTTCCCAAAAATCACCCAAAATATGCCACTGAAAAATATTATACCTTCCCAATAAAAAATTTCAGTTATGCCACAGAGTTTATTATGTACATTTTGCAATAGTGATTTAAATCTTTATTTTTTTTTAAAAACAAATGAAGAGTGTTTAAATATTGACAAAATGGATTAAAGGAATCAATTTATTATTTTTGGTAAAATAAAATAAAATTTTAAATTAATAAGTGATGACTAATAAAATTAAAACGCTTTGGCACCTCTCTAATAAATAAACAGTCTGTGCTTGAGGTAGGCGAGTTATAGAATGAAATATTAGATATAACCCATACATATATTATCAAATTACTGAAATATACACCACACATCTAATAACAATAGGTTATCTACTTGTTTGCTAGATCATTCAAACCAATTAGAAATAAATAGTTACATAAGATTGCTTTATAAATTATAATTATTTATAGTATCTACTCAAAACATTTACTATAATATAATTATATTTATAAAAACATGAGCTCTAAGAATAATTATTGTACTAAAAAATAAGTAACCGATAACTAACAAGGCTGCAGGCAAGGCTGGCTAAGTTAACTAATTATTTTAACCCGTTAAATAAAATTAATATAGAATAATTTAACTAAATTTTAAAATAATTTAACTTGGTTAAAAATCATTTACATTTTTTTTTTTTAAATTAAATTATTTAATTATAACCTAATTCCAAAGCACAATAAATACATTTTATAAAATTATAAATATATAATAAAACTATTACATGAATATAAGAGTAATTATTAAAAAATAATAAAAAGGGTGGTGCCATATTTAAATAAAGTATTTTAATATTAGAAATAATACATTCAACATTTTGACAGTCTACACTTTAGTATTTACAATACATATAACATTATAAAAATACCTACTTACGATTGTGTATTAATATTTTCTTTTTTAAAAAAAAAAAACAATAATTTGTATAAAACAAAATATACTTTTAATCCGTGGGGTTAAATTAGAAAAATTAACTTAATTTGTCTGTGCATAATTAAATAATTAATTAGTGATTATTAGTATCTATATTTTATCGAAAACAATTTAACTTATTAAGTTACTTTTATTGATTAGAACTCTCGTTATGTAACTTAGTTAAAAATAAGAAAACTTTTTTATTAATTTAAATTTTTTAACTGTTTAATTACTAGCTTTTTCAATAGTTTCTAATTTATAATAATTAACATAATATAATCCACATACGTTTAGTTTGCATTATTTCAAAAAAAATCTGTTGAACCAACTCGGTCAATGTATTGATTTCACAAAGTTGTTTTTTCATAAATGTACTTTCTTTTATGATAGATTTCTAAAAACAATACAAGCATTTAATTATTTAATTTTCTAAATAAAATTGTTTACATTAACATACTACTTTTAAAGTATCTGAACTATTATCGAATACGTTAGATTTGTTGATAAACGTGTTCAAGTACGATCTTAAATAACTGTGAGATATGGGATTCCAACCCTCTAGATCTAGATCTTCAGTTTCATTGGAACATATTATCAGTAACCTTTGTAGCACCTCGTTAATTTGTGATTTGAGTTTTTGATTGTTTTCGCCTAGCACAGCGCTCAACGAAAACTCTAATAACGCCTCTTGATATCTCTTCAGAGAAAACAACGCCATACCATACGTGAAATGTCCCTAATAAATTTCAAATTATTGATCTAATGTTGAAAACAAATAAATATGTATAAAAACGTACTTTTGACCACTTCGGTTTTATTTGGACCACACGACTAGCATCCAAAAGAGCGTTTTCATTGAGTCCAAGTTTAAGCAGCGTTCTCGATCTAACGTTTAGTAAATCATAATTTTCACCTCCTGAAAAACAATAATAGCAGATTGAATTTTCACGCCAATTATGTATCAATAGAAATTTATTATGATATGTAAAACTAACATCTCATGAAGTGCATAAACAATACATAATGATGAAAAATGTATAAATTATTTATATTGATAATGGTGTTAATTGTTTTAAAAAGTCATGGACTTAATAATAAGCCAATATTACCTTTAATTATAATATATACATATAAAATATAGGTATGTACAAAAGTATACATGAATAAATTTCTAGGAAAACCACTCTAAACTTTGAGCATTCCGAGCTTATGTGGGTCTACCACCTAAGAAGAAAGATCTACCGAAAATCTGGGGAGGAAGCATCAAATACTGCAGCGCTATTCGGAGACCGGAAACCTCAACGGTACTCCATTTTTGTTTATTTATCATATTATATACCTAATATATATTTATATGTATTTTTGTATTTTTAGGTATTTATTGACGATTTTTTAAATTATATTATTATTGAAAAATAATAATGCAATTGAAGTGGTAGTAATAATAGTATAGTGGTTCCAGTCTCAGTTGTGATTCCACGTTAAAAAAAAAAAGATACACACTGAACATAGGTAATTAGATATTCACTAACTGCGTAACTGACCATAGTTCAATTATTTTGTCATAATACTCATTAAGTAAAGTACTATCTATAGAAAAATGTGGTCTCATATTAATGAAAAATAATTATTTTGAAATTATTCACCTACTAAACATACTACATATAACATATAGGTACTAGATACTGATATAATAATTTATTTTATATCGTCAAAATAATCTAAAAAAAAAAAAACAATTTGTTTTATAAATAAAGTACTTATCTAAAAACCAAAAAAAAAAAAATTATACCTATTATGTTCCAATTTAGTTTTAAAAGTAATAACTAATAACTAATAAGTTATAACATTAAATATTGCTTATCCTAATCTTGTATTACCTTTTAGTATTATACAACAACGATTTATTTAGACACAATGCCACATTAAAATTTTAATAATTAATACATAATTTAGTCCATATTTTTTCGTTGATGGTTTTTATTAAAATTCCACCTAAATGTCTTCATTAAATATACATCAAGACATCAAAGTCGGCGTGAAAAATGGTCAGTTGAAAACTTGAAAACAATAGTTTTGAGCCATTTATAGTTTTGACAAATACCGTTTATATCATTTACAACATATTAAATTCAACACATATAACTTACTCAATACATACAGTAATTACATGCTTTTACATCAATGACGATAATTTAAAATGACTCGTGTACTCTTGACACTTAATAGCCTATCATAAAATGTATAGAATAGATCAACAAATTCTTATCTCGAAAAAGGAACTTTATGCCTTAAAATACATTTAATGTGACATAATATATACTTCAATACAATAAGCAATTAATAAATATATATTAAAAATGTTTTTCATTTTTAATAATTTTCTTAGTTTATATATTATTTTTATAAAATAAAAAGGATACATTTTTTTCCGATCGAATACTTGCGCCAAATTTACTTGAACTATGTAGTAACTTTACATTATAATAATAATTAATTTGATTTATATATATATATATATTTAAGATTATTATAGTTATAACTTTTAATACAAATTGTTTTCAAATAACCGTCAATAATACATTTATTATTATTATTTTTTTTTTTAATAGTAATCAATTATACAATTTTTTTTTCAAATTATAGACTACAACAATACTTAATACACATTTTTTAGAAATAATAATACCTAATTAATGAATAAATATTTTTACTCTATACATTGTTTTCTCAAATAATTTAATAATAGCCAATAATATACATTTTTAAAAATAAATATCACAATATACGTACACATCTTTATTTCAAATAATAACTAAATACAACTATTTTTACATACCCATAATGCGTTAATTTTTAGTTTTCATAATTATCTATTGTTTTTAAAATTATTCTAATCTGATTTTAATTTGTAAATTTTTCAAATAGTTGAGAATATTGTTGTCTGTTAATATTACTACTGCTTTAAAGACAAACATATGTTTGAACTTATTTGATAAAAATTTTTTAAAATGTTAAAATATTGGGATGCAATTTATAAGATAAAATTGTTCATTGAAATTTGAAGTGAACATGAAAAAATGTATAATTATTTGTGGTTTTACTTAAATTTGATCCTATCATAACTATTATAATTTTAAGAATAAAAATATATTTAATTGATGTAATTATGATGTAAAACCACTTTACAACACAAGTAAATTTATCATAAATGGACAATCGGAAAAACCGTACCTTTTTTTTTTTTTTTGATGTAGATAGGTTGTAGTCAAAATGGACGATACCTGAACAAGTGTGCTACTAAGGAAGGAGCCAAGAACTTTCATTTGGCCCATATAGGTATATTATTAAATATATTAAATAGTATTATTCAAATTGTACTGAAAATATTTAAATATTACCTAATACTGCGATATCATGATGACATGTTCAAATCATATTAAAAGTCAATAGCGTGATGAACGATATTTTCCTATTGCAATTGATCAACCCTATACAATTTATCTTAAATTTAAAAACTAAAATGTATTTTATTTGAAATTATTGATAATCTACATTGTATAACAAAAATTCTAAATTAACCTACAGTTTTAAATTATATATGATAATTATTGTTGGGAGGAGGGTAGGATTGTTCATTATTTAAGTATTTAGGGCTTAAAATATGCTTGCCACACCACTGTTAAAACCTCACAAGTTAAATTGTTCATTGATATAAAACAAAATTAGATATTAACTGTTGTTATTTTCTGAACAAATTCACAATGAAATCATATCAAATGGAATGAATAATTACCACTAATATACGTAAATAAAATAATAACAGTGTATATTGTAAGCCTTTTAAACGTTATCACATAACAGTTACATAATGTATTGTTTTTCAATGATAATATATTTTTAAGAGTTAAAATTTCATTACAGTTTTACTGTTCACAATTTAAATGTTATAAATCATAACTAACTTTTGTTAAAATAAATTGTTCATATTTTGCAATACGAATATTGTTCTCTAATAATTATGACATTAACCACGTGTTAGGGTTAATATGTATATTATAATATTAAATTGGTAGTGTATTCGCGTCGTATCAATCTTATTTTAATTAATGGAAGTAATAACTTGTTGAGTGAAAACTGTTTAAACATAAATTAATAATTACATAACATGAGTTTATACCATAATATGCACAAGGTAAAAAACCGTTTAACTGATTGTTAGTCTCAGTCGACTAATCAACACAATACGAATGAGTCAATATATAACATGGGTCATAAAGTGATATATATATATAAATACTAATAACATTATTATTAATTAAAACATTTTTCAACATACCTACGCGTACTAGGCGAGTGCTCGTCACTAAAATACGTAAATAAATATAATTCAATATTATTGTGCAAGGCGAGGAAAGAAATAAGCGATATAAGGTATTTATAATATTATAAGTTATAATAGCTTTATGAATATGTTCTAATGATAGATGACAAAATTAATAATATAATATTTATTAAATACCTATTGTATTAATATTTTTATGGAATAAATAATTTTGTCAAGATACCTCCCGTCCAACACAATCATAAGAATCCGTGACCTCCGAAAAACTGTTCAACGTAAGCAATAATACTTTTATTATTATTATTATTATTATTATTATATAGTCTTCGGTTTCTACGTGTAACAACGTTTGTGCAGTATATAAGACGTATAATATACTACTTTATTACTATTATTATTATTGTTACCGTCATCGTACATACAATACATAATGCGGTAAAAATGTCCCGACCGCCAGAGGTTTACCTAAGGTTTTACATAATAAGAATAATAATTTATATTGGTACCAAGTTTGTCAATGACGCAATTGCCTCGCGTATACGAACGACGACTGTACCTGCCTGCCTGTCGTATCGACGCCCTCTAGTGGATTGCGCCAACCCGTGTTATCCAACAAAACCTCCTTGTTATGTGTATTTTTTTTTCGTTTTAGTATTACTCAAACTTACATAACCCTCTCCCGGCCTCTCAGTAAGTATACCATCTTATGTAAAAAAATCAAATACCTAACAAAATTATAACATCACGCGGTACCCCTCAACCACGGCAGATATAATATCGAATTAATCGGTAATAAATAATAATAATATAGCGTATAATATAAACTTTTTATTTTATTTTTTTTCCAACTATGCACAGTAATATCGTTTACATCGGTTGCTTGCTAACAGTATTATTATAATAATATCTAAAGATCGGTTTTATATAAACCTATTTTAAATTGCAAAATATGCATTTAGAAAACACAAAATATGCAAAATAATCTTTAAAAATTTTGCAATTTAATTTTTACGCCTATTATATATTGTTACAGCTATCAATTAATTATCAGTTATCAAAAAATTATTAAAATACACAATTCACAGTAAAATTAATATTATATTATTTATATATTACCTATATTATACAGTAAATTATCAACAGTTATTTATTTGTTATAAAACAAGACATTAATGATAAAAAAAAATGATTATACAAACAAATTAGAATATTTATGATGAAAATATATACAATTTAAATGTTATTAGAAAAACAATAAGTAATGTATTTTCCACATTGGTTTTGGCTAAATTCTAACGACGGTTTATAACAATGGTGTACCCGTGAACGCAACAAATTTTGTTCCACATAAATGCTTATTATGGGTGCATATTTAAAATTCTTTAGATGTAAGAACTCTTGAAATCAATGTTTTTAACTATGAGTATTTTAAAAATGTCTTTTAAAAATTTAAACATATTTTTTTAAATTAATACGTTATTTTCATTTTCAAAAAAATTATTTATAGAATTTGTAATTTGTTCAACAATTGCTAAACCTTCTGTTAGTAAAACCTAAAATCTCAATTTTTT